TTACATCAGGTGACGCCCATTCTGTGTCGTAACACTCTGGGTAAGTAAATAGCGTTCGCCTCTTGGAGGAATGAGATTTAACAGAAGAACTTCCCTTCATATTAAATAGAAGGTTTAAAGGAAGAGGGAGACTCTCATGTGTGTCAATGACACAGTTGTCCATCTGTGAAATAATAGATGCGTATAAGTATAAGAATATATTTTTAGATAAATAAATACTCTTTTAAAAATGTTCTATTTAAAAAATCAACCTTCCAAGCGAGTTAACTTTTATGTTTGTATTATCCTACAATGTTGTATGTTAAACAGTGGTACCTTATCTTGTCATTATTTATGTTTGAAAACTGTTATTCCGAACAACTATATTATGCTTGCATGTGAACTACAATCATCACTAATTTATCCAGTTAGCAGCACTTTCCAGCTTAAAACAACATTTTGAAACAAATACGTTTACATAATAATAATAAAATTTAATTGAAAAACACGCTTCATCCCCAAATAAAGAACACGACCCCTATTGGAAGTATATTTCTTTCACTTACATACCAAGAAGCAGAATGCGCAAATTGGGATTAGATAAGAAACTTTTTGTCATCCAAAAAAATGGATATGTTTTTATTCTTCTTCTTCTAATTAAGGGCCCACGGTCAATTTATTGATCATTTTGGCTCCTATGCATGTAGAGAGGATTTGCAATGTTTCAGTGCCTGGTGTTGATGAGGACATTTCAATGATTTCCAGTGCCACTTTGTGAGGGAATCATGCACTGGGGGTTTGAAGGCTTGAGGCAATAGACACAAATGAGTCTAGTTTTGTCGCCTCATCTGTTCCTTTTGAAAGCTTGTACCAGTCCCTGATTGTCTTGGGCAGGAAGGAGCAGCTCCCATACTGGCTTCTTGGTGGTATGAGCCTGAATTGCCTGTCATTATTTCATTGTACATAGTCAGCACATAAATAATTAACATTCTGACCGAGACAACATTTTACAGCTAGCATAATTTAAACACAAGGCATCTAACTATTTATCTAGCGTAGAAATCAGCCATCGAAGGACTCTTTTAGTGACAATGACGACTTCATTAGTGATCATTTTGACTTTGGTAACTGCTGAATGAACGCGGTTGTTAGTAGACGAGAAACACGTTTGATTAAAGAACATGACGGTAAACTTCTATTTCAGTATCAGGTGCAACTGGAACGGTTTGATTGAAATGCACTGAAACGTTAATATCTTGAACTATTCAGTCACCACAAGATGTTTGTCATGCATGGGCACAAACATGTTTGTACGTCCCAAAGATCTTGTTTTCAATGCGTTATCAAGGGACGAAAGATGTTCTAGTAGCAAAATATTTCAGGACTAACTTAACGTAGATGAAAATTCAAAACTTTCGTAGTGATTTCCGGTTGTTGTTTTTTTAGTTTGAAGCTTAAGTTTTTCACTCATGCGTGACAAGATAAGGCGTAGATCTAATTTATGAAATAGACTCTTTAGTTTAATAAGACGAAATTTAGAAAATAGCTTTATATTTATAAACGATAAAGAGCGATGATTCGTAAAATTACCTTTGCTCCTATACAGTTAAAAAATATTGATGAATAGATACGGAAGTGAATAGAAGGGAATACCATTAGATAAATGATATGTAGGTTAAAACATGTTCCATAACAGACAATTTTTAGAGAAATACTCATCTTTCATCAGTTGAGGGCGACTCTTGATCAGTGCATCAGGAAATAGAAATGTGTTTTTCGTTTTGATAGATTAAGTTTTTTGAAGCTTGTAGTATCTCGACGCTATCGCCGATATTATAAGTACGTATGTAATAAAGGGAACTCTTTCCTGAACACAACGGACTTTATGTTGGGTAACTGTTCTGCAACAGAGCACAATTTTGAAGTGATATTGAAACTAATATTTCCTGCACATGCCTCCTTAGCCTACTGAATTTTAAAAAAAATAAATTAAATTGTTTTACTCTTTAATGCGTTACAACTCGTCTTCGAAAGAAAATTTGAATTAAGGTTGTTGTTTTTTAAATTAAATTATTATTTTTATTATAATTTTATGCATAATTTTACACAGCAGTATCTGCAGAATAAAGGCTTTACTTTTGACAAAGTGGTTACCAATCTAGAAGCCGTAAGATTGTTTCTGCACGAGACGCGCTGCCACTTGGTGGAACATGGTATTGAAATGCAACTTTTAAAAGCAATTTCGGTAGAGAGAAGATTAAGGTTTAAGAAGAGAATGGTAGGAGAACATTTAATAGATACGGGGCTCTCTCTCTCTGCGAGAAGAAAACAGTAGGGAGATGTTGGAGTGTATTGATCGCTTTCACTCGGAACCTCCAGATCTGATCTTCAGCGATCAAGGAAGTAGGAGATAGGTTTGAGGTTTTTCAACCCATGTATCTACTATCAGCAAGTGAAGAAGTGTTTTTGGTGTCCGTTCCAAAACTAACCTTTTCTATGTTGAATTATCAGAATATGAACTTTTAAGGGAAATACAAAGGCTTAGAAGACACAAAAAGGCAGCTGATTTTGGACTTCACAGAACCATGGAATGGTTAGTATTTGATGTTTTGAAGTTTATAGTTGAATTGGAATTCCTAGAATCTCCATAAAAAAAAGCTCTCGCTAAGCCTTCAATAAATTCATATGATCTGTGTGTCTGTGGCTTCATGTCAGCGGAGCTTTTCAAAATTAAGGCTTATCAAGAACTATTTAAAATCCACTGCTTCTTGATTTTAGTTATTACAGTTATTAAGTGGCCTGTAAATATAATAAATGTACGATAATAACATCTTATAAGATTATTTTTATTACATATTTGTTGTTTTTAATGATCTTATTTGTTACTAATGGAGCAGTGATTCTCAAACCTTTTTCTGTCACCATCCAGCTTGGGACTTAAACTCATCCTCAGCGTCGCCACCCCCAACCCCACTTCCCAAAAAAAAATTCTAAAGAAACTTCCTCTTGAATTCGATAATCGAATTAATTTAATGAAAAGATGCAACATCTTATTTAAAAAGAAGGATAATAATCTTGCAATAGTTTTAAACAGTTGTCCTCTTTACTGATAAATTATCGTAGCCTATTCTTAAAGTGATAATGAAGTTAGTAAAGTGGTTAGAGTTTTTCAACGACTGGTTTAAAGTCTTTTTGGCTTAAATATGTATCTACTATTTTCATATTTTATTGCTTTCAACTCTCTGGCCAAATCTTTTTTTTCAAACTTTTCTTTACCTTTGTGATCACCTTAATAAGATTCTTTTTTTTTTTTTTTTTTTTTTTTTTGGAGGGTGTTAAAATAAGCACCTCCTCCACTTCACTAAACTTCCTGAATAATAATTTGAATTACGACCCAATGCCCAATCGGTGCTTTCCATTTACATCCCATAAACGATCAAACTATTCTCTTGAAACATTTTTTTTTTTTAAAGTCGCAAAATGTTGATGATGATCTTGCGTCTGACTTTTTCTCTTCTGGTTGAGACAGGCTTTGAAATGAGTACACCTCAACAATGCCAATCTTGCCATGAGTACCAATGTTATTTTTTTTGGTGGGGGGGGGGGGCCGGACGATTTATTTTCAATAAGATATAGTTAATTCCCCTTGGTAATTTTATATGAATTTTACAATATTTCTGATACAACATCCATGTCATGTGATATCTTTCGGGTCAGGTCCAAGAGAAGCATATGTGGCTTGAAAAAGACCCCCCCCCCCCACCCTTTCATAAAAATCTTGTCAAATAGCTTGTTAAAGGTATCACGCGAAGGATTCCAGATGACAATAAAATCATTATGAATGAAAGCAGCGAAAACTAAAAATCTGCACCGTTCTAAACACAGACACACTCCCCCGACCCCCTCACCCCGAAGTCGTCGCCTATGGTCCATGAGATCTTTTGCTCATACAATTTATTACCACGGTAATGAAAATTCTAAACCAGGTGATAAATGTTGGGATTTCTTTTTTTTAAATACGTTTTGACGATGAATGGCACCAAGGTGACTAAGTGTGCTAAGACTTTTGACACTTGTTTTTTTTGTGTTGTTGTTTTTTTTTCATTTTGAATATGCCAAATCCTAAGGCTGAATCCTGTCCTTCGTGGTGGTCAGTTGCAATAGTTTGCAACAGAACGGAACCTTACATCGATGAAGCACTGCTTTGAAAAAAAAAAAATTATAAAATATTGACATCCTTACAACCAATTTTTTTTCCCATAATTTGTTTTTTTTTTTTTTGTTGCCTTGTAAATTAAAAACACTCGAACCAAACTTCCATTTCTAAAAAAAAAAAACCGCACATCAGCGAGGAGCAACTATTCATTGAATGTAATGTGTTAATGAAAACTTTGTTGAATATGGTATATATTATACACACAAGTTATCTTCCAAATGCTCAGTCTTGTCGTCTTAGTGTCTATAATATGAAGACTGAACATCACTAGCCGATAGATTGCACTGATTTAGCAATGCAAAATGTAGACCTCGCAATATCGTGTCATGTTCCGCAAGACATCCGTTGTTTTATTTAAAAAGAGAAAAAGCAAGAAAACTAACTTCATAAGTGTTGTGACTTGACAGGCCCCCCCCCCCCGCTACTTATAAATCTAAAGTGAACAGCCGCTGTTGATACCATTGAAAGTTAACTTAAGGGTTATGCCCTTTCTTTCTCCTCGTTTGTGGAAAAAAAAAAAAAAAGAAGAAGTCTGTTATCCCAGTCTGTCAGTCATCAACTCCTGTTTGACTCTGACAATCGAAACAGCATTTTAATCTTTAATTGGAATGTGTAATAGTAATAAAATGTGTATTTTCATGCAATATCCCACCGCCCCCTTTGGACCGGTCACAGCTTCCCTAAAAATCACATTTCAGCACACACCCCCTCCCCGCAAAGCGATCACTCCCTGGTATCACCCACTTTGAGAACCACTGCTATTAAGTTTTGCTACTGGACACATAAAAGATGGAAAACCTGTTTTGATTAAATAATACTGGCAGATTTATTTAGATTGTATTGACATATTATATAACAAGACCCAACAAGTGTGAGACATAGACTAAGTTTCTGCCAAGGTTAAGATATACAGTACTGAACAGAACGTGATCACATCATCGCAAGATGTGTCAGTACTGAAAGAAAACATGATTATCGCTTGTTACTTATTTTATCTTTTTTAAAAGTAAAGAAATCTCTAATTAACATGAAAAGAACAGATGAGAAACATGATCTTCTAAGAACTTAATCAATTCTGATATACAGTAATAAGAAATAATATTTTATCCAAATATCATTTCATATTAACCAAGTTAAATATTTATAAGTCATCCAAAATTATAATAATAATATAATAAATTGATAGGCCAGCTCCAGGTAAATTTTCTTGGAATTTGTTAAACCAGATCATTTTACAAATGTATTTACTTTTACTTTAAGTAAATTAAATAAATTAAGAAAGGGAGATACTATGCAAGCATCTCTAACATAAGCAGATAAAAGAGAATTTAAAAACTGTAAAATATTATAAGATGTAAATGGTACAAATCTGTAAATAATCATTTATTTTTTTTTTAAAATAACAACCATAGTGTTCAGAGTGCACTGGACTTAGTGACAGACACAGATACTAAAATGTTACTGCACAGAAAGTGAAAGAAACTAAGGGCCATGTGCCAAACTTCATATCCATGGTCAAGGAACTCAAGGAACTCTCTACGAACTCAAGGAAATCAAGTTTTTGGGCTTCACAAATGAAACTAGAAATTCCCTTGCTTAAGCCAACTTTTAAGAAAATATGGCTTTCATAAGCCCATACAAATTATCAAGAAATTGTACAACTTCAGAGTAAAGACCAAAGATCATTTTCTTTATAAGTCACATTTAGTTCTAATTGATGCTGTGAATAGCATACTGTTTATTACAGCTTTTGCTAAAGCATATTGACATGTTTAGAAAATATTAATGAATTATTTGTTTTTTTGTTTCAAAGTGGTTGAGAGCGACCTTACATTCATGACCAAGTTTATTTGAGTCAAATGTTTCAACACTTATGCAGAATGCTCCAACAGTGTCTGGCAGACAATGGCCGCCTCGGGATGCTCTATAGATCAGGAATTTGCCAAGCTGGCACCCAGAGGGAGCAAGGAAAGGGAATTTTGTATGGTGACATTTGGGGGACTAACATACATTTCTTCATAAAATTTTACTTTTGTTTAGCGTTAGTCACAAGTCTATTTTCCAATTTCTACACCTCTCTTTTTAATTTAGTAGAAAATTAGAAGTTTTTTTTCAGTACCTGTATTTACACTTATGTATATTTACAAGACCGTCAAACAGTGGTTTGGAAACCCCGAACTTTGGGAGTGAAGCTAGGCCCTCATTATAAAGATATATTTTAGAAAAAAGATATATATATATTTTTGTAACAGCATTGTTCAAATAATAATTAATCTATAATAGATACGAATTTTATTATTTATTTCTTTAATTTCAATGATTTGTTTCAAATTTTTCCAGCCAAACAGTCAACAACTTGAAATCCTTATAAAAAAATTAAATAATCAACCAGTTTTAAAACATTATCTAAGCCAGTGGTTCCCAACCTTTACGAATCACCGAGCCCTTTTAAAAATAAATATCTATGGGTGAGTCCCTTAGACCTAGGGTTATATCATCGAGTCAATGGTGTTTAAGGTGTTACCCTATCAGCCGAAGAGCCCCTGAAGAGTGCATGTTGAGCCCTTAGCCCCTTCAAAGGAGCACATGTTGGGAACCACTGACCTCGGCTATCAATGGCAAATACACTATAAGGAAAAAAATAATCACGAGCACTCAATAAATGTGTAAGTTTAGAGCTTGAGAAAATACTGGCTTTATTGCAAAGCATTTGAACTTGAAAACGTTTGCAAACCAAGGGCCTGCTCCAAGGAAAGATTAGTCTAAAGGAAATTTCTAGGATAGACTTTAAAAACAGGGTAGGTGCAAGTATACACTAGAAATAAAGTCCCCAACCCAAAATGATCAAAAGCAATTATTTAAAGAGTACCATAAAAAATATCTTGCATTGGACTGTATTGGTCACTGTTCACAGAGACAAAACACTGGCTGGTCTTTAAAATATGACATTGTCCTTTATTCTGGCAACTTTATACAAAATTATTAAGCATCTCTTAATTAATTGCTGAGAACTTCTCTCTCTTTTTTTTTTTTTTTAAATTTTTTTTTTTGTACATCTTAAATTCTATTTATTTTTAAAATATTTCAGTAAATCTTAATAAAATAGACAATAAAAAAAAAGGCAACTTTATACAAAATTATTAAGCATCTCTTAATTAATTGCTGAGAACTTCTCTCTCTTTTTTTTTTTTTTTAAATTTTTTTTTTTTTACATCTTAAATTCTTTTTATTTTTAAAATAGTTCAGTAAATCTTAATAAAATAGACAATAAAAAAAAATTTGTTTTCACAAATAGTATTTGAAGCCATGGTTTATTATTTAAAATCAGGCCTAACATTTAAAAATGTACCAGGTTTGTTCAGAATGTTTCACTGCTAACAGAATTGGATTTTATAAACAGAAAAGTAGAGGTACGAAATAGGCTGCTACTCATCAGTAACAGAAGGGTGATTTTTATAAATGAGTATCAAAAGCAGTTACTTCTAACTGTAGGTATTTAGTCTAGACGAGGCCGAAACCTTCAGTTTGTTGAATGGCCATTAGTAACTTTTCTTTAAGTGTTGCCTTTGAAGTGTATCGGGGGAGGTCCAGTAAATTAAAGCAGGTGTGGGCGACAGGCAAGTAATGCTCTCCTCCCCCAGAAGGCTGGATGCTCATCTGTAAAACAGAAATCTCATGGTCAATGGAAATGTATGCAAAAAATTCACAACATATATTAATAAAACGTACAGATTCTGATTCTTGAAATATCCAAAATTAATCATTTTGTGAAACTAAAATAAAGCAATCAAGATTTCTTACCTTCACATTTTTCATACCAAACACAGGAATTCGGTCACTACCAGTTAAGAACACTAGGAAATGAAAATGTATAATAGAAAAATGATTTCAAAAAGAATTTTATAAATCATCTCTAAAATGATGAATGAAAAGTGCGCCCATAATTTATTCAAGAAAAATTTTAAATGAATTTCTAAAATTATTACAATAATTTTGTTGTTTTTATTGAACAGTAAATAAATCAATCAGCAAGGCTCAGATACTTACACAAGAACTTTTTCTTGTCTTCTAAGCTCATCTCATGAAAAACTTCCCAAAACATCTTGATGGTTGGATGATTGTTGAAGTAATCTCCTTTATAATCTGTATTCTGAATTTTTAAAAAATTATTTTTTTACGTCCAATTAAAATTGAAATGAACTAAATAGTAAAAAAAGAAAATTTCCGTATTTCCAGCAGCTATTTTTGGATAAAATTCTCACAAAAAGGAATTGTCCTATATACATGACTATGAGTCTAGTTTTTTTTAACCAAAAATTATGAAATATGCTATGACTCGTGGATAAGTGGAGGGTAAAACATGATGCTACTAATTCTGGCTTTTTTATAATTTTTCGCGGCACTTTGGCCGATTTATATGATGGACTCCAGATTTATCACACCAGATGCCTGCATTTAAATTTCCGTGTGTGTGTTACCAATATCTAAGTCAACAATAAATACACTAGCACCACCGGTAACTTGACATTTCCCCGGATTTAATGTACACAATTCTATCAAAACTAGCTCTGACTCATGGATAAGTCGGCTCTGTGTGTGTTTTAAAATGAAGTTTACAACAAAAATTTCTTCAGCTAATACACGAGTATATACAGTAGTCAGTAATAGTTCTCTGGAAACAAGTCAATGAGAATCTTAAAGAACAAACTCAAACTGATATTTGTATCTGAAAAAAAAATTCAGGATTTCAACAATAATAATAATAATGTTTAATATTTTTATAACAGTAATGCAATCCACTTTTTAAAGTGACCAATTTAAAGATCAGACATGGCATCAATGAAAAAGCCACTGAAACAAGTTTCTTATTTAGTTAATCTCTAGCACTGCCAAATGATGGTCTAACAATTACTTAGTAAGCGTTATGCAACAAACATGGCAAGGTGTGTGTTAGATTAAAATTCTGTAAGTGATATAAATATGAAACTGGCATGCAAATTAAGGAACCGGCAGTCATCTTTAAAAGCAGAATATTCTTTCAAATCTAGATATAAAATTCAGGCAGATGAATCCACAGATGTGGCAGTTGTCATGGTAAAACTCATCTTGTTACACTGCCAACTAATAAATACAAAAGGGCGGAGCTCTACATTATATTAAATAAGCAGTAGTTTCTACACTAATACTGAGAGAGCTACATTGTGATATGGGAACACATGAGTTATAAATTTCAAATTATTTGTTATGTCTTGTTATGTCATGTCCGCTGAAGAAGACATTTAGCAAGAAACGTCCTCATAATTGTTATGTCTTTTTTTCAAGCCTAAACATAGATTATTCTACTATTTATTTACTTCACATGGCTTAAGCACAGTCCTCCATATATTATCATTATTTTAGATACATGTTTTAAAGAGAATGAAATTTCTTGGGATAAAACTGCTTTGATATTTTGTTGATTGTTGAAAATATGAAATCTTCACATAAGATAAACAATTTAATTATTGTTAACATTAACAACAGGGTTTTTGCTTCCAAGGAGAAGATAGATTATTAAAACAGGTTGGATTGTTGTTGTTTTTTTACCATTAAAAATTTACAAACACAAACTTGCTACTTTATCCTTCCATACCTTCTGGAATTCAATGAAGTCGTAGTCTTCATTTCCGACAACCATAGCCTGGAGCTCCTGAGGATGGAATAAATCCAATACCACACCACCACAAACTGAGTGAAAGCCTTCGTTGAATGCACTGAACTGTACTTCTACAGACTTGTTGAGAATGTAGTCCACATGAAGATTGATGTACTCATGTCTGGAAACAAACAAAACACACATCACTCAGGTTGGCCTCATACAGGTGGTCTTTATTTTTAAATAAAATGAAGACCATATTATGAAATTCACTTCCCCATTATTCATTTAATAATTTAATTGAGTGTTAAGTACAGAGAGTGGAAGAGGCGAGGAGGGGGGGGGGGAGGTTGGGGGTGGGGTGTTGCATTATCTTTAAAACTGGCCATCACCAAGCGCTAAAAAATAAAACAGTTAGTCCCCTCATCAAATTTTGCTCCAACTGAATTAGTAAAGCTGGCAGGTTATCTAGAGATTTTAGTGTTTCATGACCAAATGGCCTTAAACAATAATATTAAATGTACATAAAACCATTTGTGAACAGAATCTGCCAGTATAGTTAAACCTAGAAATACAACATTCTGTCAGATGTAATACAATTTTTTTTTAAATTAAAAATTCTTTTTAAAAATAAGCACAATTTAAAAAGTAAAAAATAAATGTCCCCAAACCTCAGAGTACTTACAATGTCCCCAAACCTCAGAGTAATTACAGTCATATCTAACAGCTCTGAAGTTTTGGGGGACATTTATTTTAAACTTTTTAGTACATTTTTGGAAAAAGTGTGTTTTATTTTGTACTTTTTAGTCTTGGAAGATGTATGTTATAGAGAGCTTGTTTATATAATATTTCTCGTGCGTGCCCTCTGATTGACCCCGCATGAGACGCTGTGTTCACAAAGGGGTGTGGCTTAGGCCTTTTGAAGTAACTTGTTGACGCCGCCTACCACTAAAAATAATTAATCTATTCCAAGTAGTATTTTGTAGAATTATTTGGATTTTTCTAGATATGTCATGTAGCTGCTCGAAGGCAGGGCTTGGGCGTCGGTAGACCCACCTATATAAGGGATTGACAGGCACGGACGATAGACGGAGATTTTCTTATAGATTCTCTTAACATTACGAGGCGTGTTTTATTCTTTGTGTATTTGTGTGCTCCTACTTATATGTGTTTATTTCGCATTATTTATTGGCATCATTATTTCTAATTGTATTAACTGTGTACCGGTACGACATCTGCCATACTGTAAGTTGAAGATTGTAATTTTATTTTAATTTTATTTTGTAATTATCTTAAGACATAATAAATCTTAATTAATTGTAACTAGAAACTGTTTTGGGTCGTATTCTTTAATATTGTTGATTATATGGTATCGTCCTTTGTTAGCCACTGTTTACAACGAGCCAATTAAAAATTAAAATTAAAATAGGAGATTACTTTCTCCCAATACAAGTCAGTGCGTAACAATGTAGAACATAAATTAATATGCTGGAACATGAATTAAGGAGTGTCAGTGGTGACATTGTTATTACTATCGGGAACGAGTAATAATGCTTAATGAAACACTATAATGAAAACCCGATGTCCCTTAACACTTTCTGTTCCAGAGATATCCGCACAGGTCACTCAAAGGGTCAGTGGAGATAACTGGTGACCTACTGATCATAAAGGGCTGTACTCTCATCTGGATGGGCTAGGTACCCTATTTTCGCGTATATAAGACCCAGGGTGCGTCTTAAGTAAAATATTTTAAAACAAATTGTCAAAACCCGCGTCTTATATACGGGTGCGTCTTTCTATTAGGTGTGTCTTATGTGCAAGAAAATATGGTCAGTATTTTTTAAACCGAACGAACAGTACAGTGTGTGATATTGAAGGACGATTAATGTGGTCAATATTCACGTTTCCCGATTTTCATTCCTAGTTGTATAAAACAACTGGGTAAGTGTTCAGTAATTACTATGTGTACCATTCCAATGCTGGCCACTTCAAATTTAAAATCCCTTCGTTTCAATGTTTTGTATATCAATGAAGCCACCTTTAAATTTGGCATTTATTGTTGCTAGAATCTAGATATTGGTACTGAACCCATCCGCTATTGACCTGGCAGCAGATAAGAATAAACAATAATAGTTGCAGTCCTGCCTCAGACAATTGCTTGATCTACCGGTAAACTAAAAATGGTAATGAAGCCTTGTTAACATCGGACGTGTGACGAAACATTGGAAAAATTTTCATTTATGATAAACTAAAGGAAACAACTGGATTTAATTTGCTCAGTGTGGCAGATGGCTAGGAGGTGTGCGTCTTACGTAACTTTTGTTTACACAAATTGTCAAAACCAGCGTCTTATGTACAGATGCATCTTATATTACATATGCGTCTAAAGTAAAATATTTTTTACACAAATAGTCCAAAACCTGCGTCTTATATGCACAAAAATACGGTATACAAAGTTTCAACTCGGTGATCAGGATGTGAGTCAAAATTGAGATACATGATTTCAACATACACAAACTAACAAAGGGACAACCAAAGAAAAAGCGCGCAAATAAAAAGAGTAATGTTACAAAATTAGCTTGTAATAAATGACAACTCTTCTCTTACTTATTGCTTTGGTTGACAATCTTTTCTTTTCCACCAGAACAGAGCTCGAAAGATTTGGTTTCCCCGAATACTTCTTGCATCACCTATGGTCACAACACAATAATAAATGTTATGACGAACATGTTTGAATTTTAACATTGCTAACTTTCAAAGAACATTGAACATGCAGTAACATGCTGCACAAGGCCAATAAATTGAAATAAGCTACGGAGTATACAACTTTTTAGTCACTTACTTCAAAAGATAAGCTAAAAACATCATCAAAGTCATCCCCTTCATAATCTATTAATTCTTGTAGACTTCTGTGGGGATCAAAGTACATCTTGTGATTATTGTGTTAAAAACAGCTTTTAAAGAAGGCTAAACCAATTCTAATGGATTGATCTGACAACATGAAATACAAATCTAAGCAGGCTGCAGAGTTAAAACAGAAAATCATGCCACTCTTTTGAGATGAGCAACCCTGTCATCAATGACACTACTTTGAGATACGCAACCCTGTCATCAATGACACTACTTTGGTGATAAATTGGGAACTGTAGCGTGTCATACAAAAATAAATTCATAAATTTTTCTATAGTATTATTGACTGGCTAGAAATACACTTGAATTTCTAAGAAATGTACCTACTTGCCGATTCCAGGATCAAGTTCCTTGACATCATCAAGAGTGACTGGTCTGAAAATACAAACACTTTTACAGAGGCTCCACTCATCCGATGGGTATCTACATACCAGCCCTCAAGAGTGTGCTCAAAGCTATATTTATTTTTCCACTTTATAGAGCAGAATTTAAAGTATTTGTGGCTTAAAAAATATTTCCTAAGAAATGAGCTAAATGGTGCCCTTGTGTGTTATGATAACCATTTTCAAGAAGTAAAAATTACTTTAAACTTTTTTGCCTTCTTTTTTTGAAGTTATGTCATGTCCTTCAAATAAATTGGAGGCTATAAAAATAAAATAAGTCATCAGAAAAGATAATTCATATTTACTGCAGTAGAGCTATTTCCAATTATTCAAGCAAACTAAGATTTAATTAAACTGGGCAATTGAAATAATTTACAACACAAAACCAACCTTTTGAGCAATTTTTTATATAACGCTTGTGGAAAGTGCAGGTGAATTATTGTAAAATTGTAGATGGCCAAACCACATAATATGCCAATCATTTTAAACATGTTTGGCTCCTCAAAGGTCTAGAGAATACAAATAAAAATTGCATCTGCTTTTCAAAATGTGAAGAGAGCTGGGTTTTTTTGTTTTTTTTTTAACAAAATGTATTGAAAAACAAATTTTAAACTACAGCTTTAAAAGATATTTTACTACCATCTTTTTTCTCGACTACTGTAAAAAAAAGACATTAAAATATGGTAAAATAAAAGGTGATTATCATAATTATAATTTTTTGTTTTTTAATTTAAGCTCCAGATTTATTTTGACTGTTAAATTAATTGTTTATACCACAGTGCATTTTTTAGTACACAATCCAATAGTAATTAGGCTGCTGACCGCTGACTTTGGTTGACTTATGATTTTTTACTAAATGGTTTAGCATTTCTCTACGAATTTTTTTCGTAGCTGGGGTGAATGCCTTTTTAACCTGGCTAATCATTCACCAACAGCTTGGGATGATCCCAGACAAATTCAAACCAGCTAGCACTTCCTGTATGGCAGTCATAGTTATCTTGAACCACATGGCCAACACAAAGAGAGCTAATCGTTTATGTAATTATTTAAATGACAAACTGGATCTAATGGTGGCAGCTACATAAGATATAACTTACCGAGGGATTAAACCACTGGAGGTGGGATGACTCATGATTTTTAAACATGCCGTATTTAGGATCCATAACTTCCCTTAGTAATAAAATAAAGAACTCCTGAAATAAAGAAGTCAACCATTAGAAATTGAAATTTTGCAGAACTTATGGAATTTTTACAAATCCTCCCTACTTAAATCTTGTAAACCTATTGTTAATTTTAAAAAATTAACAAACTATGGAATGCTTTAAAGCAGCAGATCAATGTAAGTGAAAAGTAAATTCAACAAATTCATCATGCTATGTGATAGCAAATCTAAGATAAGATTTCACATTGTTGTTCAGCACAAAGGCCAACCACTGTCCTCCATACTTTTATGTCATGTTTCAACAACAGCAACAAAAAAAGGGAGCATTTCTTTACCTTCCTCACACCTCCTTCATCAACAGCTTCCTCACCCTGGAAAATAACCTGTCAAACAAAACAAACAAAAAGTCTTGGTAAAACCATTTCCAGAAGTATTAAAAACAAGAGCATATAAAAAAAGACAGCAGTCTTCAAGAAATGGAGATTGTACGCATTGGTCAACAAATGATTATTTTATATAGACTTTTGGGGGATGACATCAGTAGTGAAAATGTGAGATCTCAACGACAGGCTAAGGCAATTGTGCTACGTTTAAATCTATTTTTACTTTAAAATAAATTTTTATTGCATTTTGAGGAACAAATTTTGCAGACCTTGTTGTTTTTATTTAAAAAATAATTTGACACAAAGCACCATCCTTAATGGTAGGACAATGATGTGGTCTGGAATCATATCTGCATAGAGTTGAATATAACTGCATCATGCCTAGTGACATCAAGTGGTAGCAATCCTTGTAAAATCTACCTTAAGAGGTTTCTTAAACTCTGCACTGGACTTGGTTTGCAGCTGGGCTAATGTATCCTGTACAAGATTGTCCCGACGTACGATTAGGACAAGACATGGATTGATAGGATCAAAGAGCTGCATGGGTAAGCCACTGATCAATCCGATCAGATGATTACGTTGAGCACTCTCAATAGCATTCTAGAGAAACAAACAAATGGTGGAGACATCTCAAGCAAATGTTTAATAGAATGTATCTCAAATTAGGATACTTTAAAAAATTAAATGTAAAGCCTTTCAGTGTTTCAAGTCAAATGCTAAATTTAATGAAACCTGAATCAGTGTTTCAAGTCAAATTCTAAATTGTTCCTACTTGATGTTAATATATTCTCTTTTTTAAAAAAAAAAAAAAAAAGTATTAACTGAACATTGATAAAATATTGTAACCTGAATGCCATACATTACCTGCATTTGCAGAGCTGCGTCAGTTTGAAGCAAAACACTTTTGGCCGCTCCATCGAATAGGAATGGATAGTTGCAAAAGTACAAACCCTGAAATGGACCAGTAACAACAAGAATAATGTTAACCCAGGGTGATTCACATAGTGGAAAGACTGCACTTAAACACACTGACCTGAGAGAATGGAGAGTCTCTCCATATTCTAATTTTAGCAAATCTAATAAAATAACTATGGATGTCTCTCACAGCACCACCCTATAAAACAAAGAGCATTAAGTGTCATTGTGATCCCCCTTGCAGTACTGCACTTCTGGAGAATGAGCAAAAAGGGGTGCTGTGATCCCCCTTGCAGTACTGCACTTCTGGAGAATGAGCAAAAAGGGGTGCTGTAATCCCCCTTGCAGTACTGCACTTCTGAAGAATGAGCAAAAAGGGGTGCTGTAATCGCCCTTGCAGTACTGCACTTCTGGAGAATGAGCAAAAAGGGGTTCTGTGATCCCCCTTGCAGTACTGCACTTCTGGAGAATGAGCAAAAAGGGGTGCTGTGATCCCCCTTGCAGTACTGCACTTCTGAAGAATGAGCAAAAAGGGGTGCTGTGATCCCCCTTGCAGTACTGCACTTCTGAAGAATGAGCAAAAAGGGGTGCTGTGATCCCCCTTGCAGTACTGCACTTCTGGAGAATGAGCAAAAAGGGGTGCTGTGATCCCCCTTGCAGTACTGCACTTCTGAAGAATGAGCAAAAAGGGGTGCTGTGATCCCCCTTGCAGTACTGCACTTCTGAAGAATGAGCAAAAAGGGGTGCTGTGATCCCCCTTGCAGTACTGCACTTCTGGAGAATGAGCAAAAAGGGGTGCTGTGATCCCCCTTGCAGTACTGCACTTCTGAAGAATGAGCAAAAAGGGGTGCTGTGATCCCCCTTGCAGTATTGCACTTCTGAAGAATGAGCAAAAAGGGGTGCTGTGATCCCCCTTGCAGTACTGCACTTCTGAAGAATGAGCAAAAAGGGGTGCTGTGATCCCCCTTGCAGTACTGCTCTTCTGAAGAATGAGCAATAGTGCAGTTGCAATCTAATAATAAGTTGACTCCTCCTTCACGCTACCCTGACCCAGATTGTTTCCCCCTGTGTTGGACTATGTCAGTGCCAAGAACTGCACTGAGCCAGTTAGTTTTCCAGTATGTTGGATTATGTCAGTGCCAAGAACTGTATTGAGCCAGATTGTTGCCCTGTGTGTTGGATTATGTCAGTGCCAAAAACTGCATTGAGCCAGATTGTTGCCCTGTGTGTTGGATTATGTCAGTGCAAAGAACTGCATTGAGGCAGATTGTTGCCCTGTGTGTTCAATTGTGTCATCAAATAGCTGCACAAAAAAGTGCCCACACACAAGTTTTGCCCACATTAAAAACTCACTAACATGAAAAGTTGCTAAAAAATGCACTTGCAAAGAAACCACCCATAAACCAATACTAACAAAAAATATGCTTGATAGTTTCAAAATTATACTATACTAATATCAAATTCTGCAATAAATAAATATCTTTTTAAAATTTGTTAGAAATGAAATATGCTAATAAAGAAATTCCTGGAAATGAAAGAGAATTATTAGACTTATTACATGTAATGATGACATTAAAATTTTCCTAAAAATGTTTTTAATAATTACTATACATTTGCCTATAAATAGTAGCAAAACATTTAAATTTACAAACATAAATAAACACCAACAGTAGCAGATCAAGAGAAAAATTACTTTGAGTTCACTGCTATTGATAACATGAACCATGCAGTAGCTCCATCTTTGCTAACCATGTGTAATAGTATAATTAATATAAAATCAATTCAAGTCTGTGGACTGTGTTTACAACCAACCTTTATGCACCATTCTACATTTTTTTTACACCCCACATCGGATGACCATTCACTACACTTCTCCAACCAATATTCATACATTAAGTTTAAACATTCAAGAAAACAACTCACCACGTCCAGTCATACAACATGACAACAACACAGGACAATCAGGTCACAAAGTTCAATCGATACAACAATAATCATCAGTCACTCATACTGTCAAGCCATGCAGTGGTTCCACCTATGATAACCATGCAGTGGCTCTACCTTTGCTAAAAATGCAGTGGCTCCACCTTTGCTAACAATGCAGTGGCTCCATCTTTGCTAACTATGCTGTGAGCTCTATTTTCGTTAACCATGCAGCGGCTCCATCTTTGCTAACCATGCAGCAGTGGCTCCATTTTTGCTAACCATGCAGTGGCTCCATCTTTGCTAACATTTTCATCTATCCTTGTGGCGCTACAGGCCTAACTGATGCCACTACAAGAAATGGTTTAATATTTTGTCTTGGGGATGTCTCAATTTTTCCATCAAAATGTTTTGCAATATAGCAATAGAGGTTTAAGTTTAATCTGATGATTTATTACGTTGGCTAAGGCTCCTACTCTAAACAGGCTTATAACATTCCTGGCTGCAATCCAAAAATCATGTCCATATCCAGGCACGGGTCGATTTCCTTTAGAATCAGTGCGGGTTTTATTTTGCTGTTTGGCTATCGTGCATATATTTTTTACATGACCGGGTTGTTAGCCCTGCGCAAAACCGTCTGGGGGGGTGGGGCGCTGCCACTTACAGCTCTCTAGGTAGCTGCCTTAATTTTTTGGGTAAAGTTCCTTGGCCTTTGTGAATCCCTCCACTTCCTACAAGGCAGTAGGTTCTCATTTTGGTCTGCCCTGGGTATTTTATTTCCCCCTTACCCGCCATATCTGGTGGGCTTTCTTGTATCCCCCACCTGGGAAGGCACTCAATGGAAGATCAGTATCTCCACAGGAGGATAACATTTTCAACATGTCATTATTTTCTTAAATTGTGAGAAATCAAAATAATCTGAGACAGAGAAGTAAAAGGATTTGGAAAAGATTCCTTGTCTTTAAATCTGCTACTTGCCGCAACAACAATCCCTGAATTCCATAAAGAACAACCAGCTGCATGTCCCTCTACATTTTAACTCACAGCAAAGAATAAAAAGATTAAATTATTTGGGAATTACCCAATAAAGTGCTTGTAAAATTTAAAATATTGGTACTAGTTATTAATAACAAAGGTCAAAGGTGAACACTTGTTAGTGCACACACCTGTACGGTCACACCGCCCACCTGACTACGATGATTCGTTCGCTGCACCCAGCTGATATAATCATCTCTTATGTTGACCTTGTCCTTCAGTTCTGGTACATAGAACTTGTGGTATGGGATGATCTGGTTGTACGTTTCATTCACCTGTGCAAGCAACAGATGGTGAGACTCGTGAATTTCCAGGCCATTTGAGGTAAGGACTTTCAAAGTGTCTAAATTCTTAGTTCTTAAATAAACTCAATAACTAATCGTAAAAAATATACTTCTTCGTATCCATTTGTAATGCAATGTAAAAAAAAATAACTAAAAAAAGCCAATAAATAGGAATAGTTACAACCAAAATATAATGCATAACAGGTTAAAATAAAATAAAATGGTTTAACACTCTGTATTGCTCAAATATTTTTCAACAAAATTGTTATTTTTTATATATTACAGCCAATACTATAGCTGATACTCAAATCTACCTGATTCAGTTTTTGCAACATTTCCATTGAGACATAAAGACCATCTTGTCTTTTACTGACCTGCATGACAAAATTTAAAAAAGAAAATCACTTCCACATTAAGAAATAAAAAGTACGTGCCTCGAACCATGATGTGCTGATGTGTGGAGATTTTATTAGCAACTTCCACATTAAGAAATAAAAAGTACGTGCCTCGAACCATGATGTGCTGATGTGTGGAGATTTTATTAGCAAACCATAATGTTAATGTAATGGATTTTCAAACAGGATACAAACATCTACATATGTGCATTGTTCCTTACCTCTAACGGATTAGTGGTATCTGGTAACTGTAATAAATACTCTATGCAGGATTTATAAATCTGTAAAACAAATAAAATGTCATGACATTATAGGTAATTGCTATATTTCCTTGGATGTAATATCAGTTGATGTTTATAAATGCAAACAGTTGAAGGCAATCTGCAATCTTTTTTTAACAGAAAAATATTTTTATTTTCCATCAGACTAAATATTTTTTGTTTTATGTGCCGTTGGGCCAGCAATTCATGACATATTAAATAATCTTTCAAGTGTTTTGGTTCAGATTTTAATTTAATTTACAATGCAGGGAAATACATTTTTAAAAAATAATAATTTCACAAGAATTGTTAACAAAAATTATCTTGAGTGAACTCACCACAATTAATCTGTTAAAGAAAGACGGCTGGTTGATTGACCACCATGTATCTAGAATTTTTAAAAATTTATTTGTTAATATTTCCAAAAAACATCAAGTAGAACTAATTTCATATAAGTAATAATTTAATAACCCACATGCCAATGTCCACAGATTAAGGATAGAAGGAATAAATACTAATAAATAAATATATATTTACAACCCTGTTAAAGCCGACTGATTAGGGACAGAATGAACAAATATTAATATATATATATAAACACCCCTGATAAAGCTGAGTGATTGGGGACAGAATTAACTCTTAGTGTTCGTAGATCAAATCCATGTTTAGGCGCAGTAATTTTGTTGTGATAAAATTTGACCCTAGGTGACCACAGACAATATTTCATAACTTTATTAGTAAAATTGTGATAAAAAACAAATTCCTTGCACGTTTGAAAATTGTTAGCACCGGAAGAGGATGTGGAAATATTGATTTGGACAAAATACCGAATTATTTATATAAAATCCCAAAATTAAAGAGTCCCTATGAAACGCCGCATAGCCTGGCTCATGTCAAAACATGGCCGGCAGAAAGCCAGTTAGACTGGCGCATCAGACTTGAAGAGTAAACAAATAATAATATATATAAACACCTCTGTTAAAGCTGAGTGATTTGGGACAGGATGAACAAATACTGAATTAAATACTGATTAAAGCTGACTGGATCAAACATGCACCAGCCCTTTTATTGGTGAGGGTGACAGGATAAGGTGCACCTGAAGAGCATGTACTCACCAAAAACAGCTAAAGCTACTTTATTGAGAGAAAGGAAGGATTTAGCAAATGGACAAATGATTGAACTGTACAGCTTGGGCTGGTCAAATAAAAGGCATTCGGGTAGCATGAGGTACAAACGCAGAGCTTCAACATCTGGAGGGGACTGGGGCAGAGATGGTATCAGGTTCTGCTCAATACTTGTGCTGATCTAGACATGAAATAATAGTAACAGCAATTTTAAATTATGGAAAATAAATGTTCAGAAAGAGACACTACGACCAAGAGGACTGGCCTAGAAAGAATAAAATTGTGATAGTCGATGGTCAGCTTTCTTGAGAAATTAGGTGCAGTGCATAATAAAAATTCCAAAGGAAATAGATGATATCAGGTTAAAAACTTGTCAGACAAAATCAAGCACTCACTTTTTGCATAATGGCAACATTAGAAAGTTGGTTAAGTTCTTTGAAAAATGTTCTCAAAGCGTTCATGTCCACGCCATGTTTTTTGCTTGTAGTTCCATAGTGATCATCATTCCTGGAAGGAAGAATTTTTGGGTCTTGTTTTTGTATTTGCCATTTGCAAGTCCAGCAAAGACAGGACAGAAAAACTGACACATTAAAAAGCACTTATCAATGAATTTGTAGCTAAATTATTCATTACTGAGATTCTGTTAAAGATTCAAAACATGGCATTGCAATATTTTATGTAACTAAGATAATAAGAATTCATGTTTTGAAGAATGTTATTTCTCAAGTTTAAAAATTATATGGTACAAAAGTGACATTTTTAATGACATTTATTAAAACTTACGGCAACAAAAAGGATCCATTTAAACAAGAAGCAAAAGAGAATATTTTAGTCATTTCCCTGAAAAATATTTGTCAAGACAATTTTACACAATATGAGGAATCAATAATGTGTCAGAAAAAGTTAAACAATCCCTAACATGTCAGAGCAGGTATTATTATGTTTTTGTAAAAAAATGACAGTTTCAGGTTTTTTTACAAAATTTCCTAGAAGAGCGATTAGATTGTTTTCAATCTTTGGTAAAGAGATTATTTACATCCAAAATGTTATATTCTACACATGCAACAAACTATTTATCCTCTCTACTCAGCATAAATTTGAATTTGGTAACCTTTTTAACGGTAAATAAAATTGTAAAAAAAAAGATGAAAAAAAACTAACTAAATTTAATAACCACTATAGTATTGAAAGACCATTTTTACAGTTATTATATTTTGATTTATGTTATGTATTAAAAAACTGTGAGTATATTTTTTGCTTTTCAAAGACATTCCAGTTTCCAGAGCAAGTGCAAACCAGCACTGGGCATGGGTCAATTTAATATTTTTGTTTATATTTTGATATTTGATAATACCTGTCTTATCAGCAGATTATGGAAAACTAAATATTCACACAAAAATCATTGCTTACTCTGTGAGTTCATCGGACGGAACATCATCTTTTTTAAGAGGTCGGAGCACCTCTATCCTTCCCTGAGTGAGAGTCAATATTTGCCTTGTTGGATCTTCCATTCTAAAATCATCTGATACACAACTCTGAAACAAAGACATCTAATAATAATATTACATAGTCAAAATGACTAATACATTTTTTGAAAATATTTTATATAGCATATTCAAAGAATATAAACTGATTCATATTTTTTAATATAAAATGGTTTAATATCTTTTGATTATGTATAACAAATTTCAGGCCTTTATGTCCAGAATGAAATAAAAGTAGCTGAATAGCAATTTTGGGAAGATGCCTGGAAAAAAAAAAGAGCTAAATTACTAGCTAAGATAATTCTCACATTTCTAATGTCGGCAGAGTTAATAGAGCACAAGGGGGATAACTCACATCTACATCTTGAGCAACGACAAAGCTGTGATCTCCACCAGCATAGATAGTTCTTATCCTGAGGTCAGGTCCTTGGTTGTCCACCTGCATGGGAGAGCCCTGGGAAGTCCCTGAGGTAAAAGGTCCAGGCACAGACATGGGACTGTTTTTATTATCTGTTGTTGAAAGCCCAAGCTGTCCACTTCCTCCCAGTCCAAATGCATACAATCGTCCAGTTCTGGGAACATAGGCTAGGGTGTGCCCTCTGTTAAACAACATAAAAAAAAGCTAACTCTGGGATCAAAGGTACAATCCATTTTTTTAATTTTAAAAATTTGTTTTTTATCAATAGTATTTATTTAAGTCAACAAAATAAAGAGGCAAAATAACTATATATTTACAAATTTACTTCGATATTTGCATCTTTGTTTTTCTTGGTTTTTTTTTTTCTCATTACCAATTTGTAATTAGTCCAAAACAGCTGAATAAATAGGTTTTTCTTACACTCTGTGGAAACTTATGAATTACACTCTGTGGAAACTTACAAAAACAATACACAAAAAATGCTATGTGTGGTAAACAAACTGAGTTCTACCTTCCACATGCAATCTGTGACACCTCACTTCCTGACAACTCCATCACCTGTCTTGGTAAGATCTCATTGTTATAACTGCTGTGTCCAAGTTGACCATAAGTGCCAGCTCCAAAAGTAAATACTCTGCCATCCTGAAAACAATCATTCAGTATTCAACTCTGAGATTTTATATTTTAAAAAGGTCAATTCATCAAATAGTATTTGGATTTGACCATGAGCACTGCAACTTCAAAACATTTCTTTTCTTGCCAAAAATAACTAGCTCTGACACTCAGTAACACATAAAGAAGTCAATAAAATAGGGCAAACATGTCCATCCCATTTTCAGGCAGCCTTTTAACATAGCATAATATTAATATTGTCATAAAACAATGGTCTAAACAAGACAGACTTCATCAGTTTATGATAGAAAGGGTAGTTTTGAGAGCAATATAATCCATTTCTTCTTCCCCTTTCTTGTTTCATTAATATTTCTTCATTTAACTTTGTCAGCTATTTAAATTTTTTCTGTGGCTATAACTTTGTCAGCTATTTAACTTTGTTCTGTCGCTATAACTTTGTCAGCTGATGAAAGGCTCAGCCAAAACATCTGCTGCTTGTTAAGTTTTCTTATGATAGGTAGCTTGTATTTAATTTTCTATTTATATGTCTTTATTGTTGTCCATCTACAAAATTTTAATTGAAATTAGTCTAATATCTATTATAGAGAGGTGAATATTCATTATTTTACAATGTTCAAATACGCACCAGATAAAGCAAGTTATTTTTTAAACGAATAAGACCTAAAAATTAGATTTTAAAATGGAATCTTGGCTCTTCAACTGACACACATTTAATGGAAAAACTATCACGAAACTTTTGCATTTTTCTCAACAACCAGTGCATTAAATTGTGAAATAAGTATAAATTTCATACCACAGTGAGGCAAGCAGAGTGATTCTCCCCACAGCATATATATTTAATTCTTTGACTACGCATTGGCCGACATTGCTTTGGAAAATAGGAATCTAAAATATAAAAGAGATACAAATAATACAAACTTACAAGAGACTCAGGTGGATAGAGAGAAAAAAAACATTTGAAAATAGGTCCTTTGTGTGAAAATATAACAATATTGCAGTTTCTGGTCCAATGTTTACTCCCTATGAATCGATTAAAGAGAATAAGCATTTTATTGGAATTTATGCTTGGTAAACGATAGCTAAGAGATTTCAAAGGAAAAATTAAATTACTTTTTGCTTTAAGCATAAAATCTCATGCATCTTCAGTTGATACAGGATAACTTAATCTTAAAGAAATTACAAAACTTCTAACATTGTGATATAAAAAAGGCATTTAGGGAAACAAATAAAGGACTGTTAACAAAACCAACTTTCTTTCAACAAGACACAAAAGTAGTCACAGTGATGAACTTCAATCTCTTTTGATAACATAAGTATTTGAATTTGATGATAAAAAAAAATAAAAATTTTCCTGATCAGCATCTTCTTTAGTTTTCCACAAAATATGAATTTTGTTAGCAGTGTGGGAAAACCAAGGAAATACTAAAATTCAGAATGAATAATAATCTTTAAACCAAAGAAATTACTGGATTTAGGCATTTTTATTATATAATTAACTAAAAATAACCTGCCAAACAATGGCAGCAGCAATGCGTCAACATCCCATCTACTGAATTTACTTGACAAAACATCCATTCAAGTGATGCACTTTATAGGAATCCCAGTTAAAGCTAACTTTTGGGAAATTATTTTGTGCACCTCGTGAACACAGAGTTACAGCCATACACACATACCTCGAGAATTATTATTTGTCATTATATTATTTGTATGCCTGCATGTAATATTCTTACCTGCAGTGTCATTCAAGCCTAGCTGGCCAAAACTGAAAAAAAGAAATATATCTTAACGCATGCAAATATAAATTGAAATTCCTTTAATTTTAAGTAAAGTTTAATTAGTAATTTTCTGATAAAATATAAATAAGCAAATAGCAAAAGATTATAATTTTGAAAATATTCTGGTCATGAAACTTTCAAATCAAGTCATTGTTCAAACCAGAAATTTTCAATTGAACTCAAATCATTTATTAAAAAAATAGGAGGAGATGTATATTATCTTTTTTTATTTTCATACCTGTTTCTGCCCCATCCATAAATGGCTCCAGACTTAGATAAAACAAAACTGTGGTTTCCTCCAGCTGCTATCTGGGCCACAGGTAGGCCACTTATAGAGGCCACCCAAGTTGGAATATTTATATTTGTTCCTGTATTTAATCCCAACCCCAACTGGCCATAAGAATTTGAGCCCCATACACCAACACGGCCCTCTGCAGTTAAAGAAAATAATTTTATGTCAACAATAATATCTTAAATATACATTTTAAAAAGTAAGATGGCAAAATGACATAAAATATTTTCATATACAAAAAATGTAAATGGAAGCATCAGTAAAACTCTGGCATGCCTACCATTTGTGAGGACTAAAGTATGATCATTGCCACAGGCCACTTGTAGTACACAGCATACAGCAAGAGACTTTACCAACCTAAAATGAAAATGTTCAAACAATAAAACAGAATATTGCTTATTTAAATTTAAACATTAATTAATTTCCATCAGAAAAATTTATTAATAAAAATTTCTTAAGTCATAAGGACAGAAATAGTATCAAATTTATATACCATGAATCTATTATTCTAATCTCCAATCCTTTTATTCAGGAGTTTAAATTTCTCATCCAGTAAATAGCTAACTCTAAATACAACTAATTCTAGTGACAAAATGTAATGTTTAGAAATGTAACTTTATTACTTGTTAGAGCTTTAGTTTGCTTGAATAACATTTTGATTTTTTTTACTTTGTTTAATTAACATTATATTTAGTTAACTGAGGTTTTAATTTCCTCTTTTCATGTGTATTTTCATCTCTTTTAACCTGATTATATAAGGCAATGTAGATTTCATTTTTAATAAAGGAAATTGTTATACTCACTTAGGCGTACTTCTGGTTTCTTCTGTGACTTCCCCTCTCCCTAGTTGACCTTCCCTATTTTTGCCCCAGGTGAGGACTTCATGGGCTTGAGTAAGAACTACACTGTGGTAAGTGCCAGTAGCTACATGAATTACATGATGAGGCTGTAGTCCTTCTTCAACACGTGCTAAGAAATTAAAATGAATAGCCAAATTTTTTATTTTTAAATTCAATTTTTTTTTTTCAAAGTCATGAAATTAGCAATAGCCACAAGGAAGGAGTCACACTCATCGTGAACAAGAGTTAAGTGCACACACTCTTTAAATAGAAACCAGCAAGCAAATGATCTGTTGTGGTTGGTCATGCACTTACTGAAGAATAAACTTTATCATCAGAACACACAAAAACAGATACTGCAAGACATTTGGGAAACAGAAGAGATGCCGAATACCTGGATAACCGCAGCCAACATCATACTGCATAAAAGAAGAACTATCAAATGGTGGGGTATAGTCTCCTGACAAACATTAGCAAATTCTTAAGCTACATTATACTATGACAGTGAGGAAAATATTAAGACAGCAACAGGTCAGGTTTAGGTATCTCTGTTGTGCCATGACACACAAGGGCTGAATTAATTAATTATTTATTTTTTTTTAATTTAAATGAAACATGAATTTTAAAATTAAGAGTGTCTTTAGGCGCCAAAATACCAAATTGTACAAATAGGATTCAGAAAATTTTAAAAAATTAAAATAACTCAAACTTGTTTAGAAGCAAACATGAATGAAATAGGAAAGAAATTTATTTTTAATACATATAAAATATTTTAAAATTAATTCTAGCCCCTAATAACTAATAACAATCATAAAGAGTAATTTAACGGTTTTATTGATTTGATATTAGATGAGCTTCTTTCAACTTTAAAAAGGAATTACGAAATCATTGCACATCATATTTTCAGTCTCATTGTGAGAAGTATTGAAAATAACAGAAAATAAATAGTGGAACAAGATATTATTATCCTGAAAAGAAAAGATAGGGCGTTAGAGTAAAAGTATTTTATTTTATTTCAAAATAACCTGTCTAATGACACAAACTTACCAAATTTTGCAAGATTGCTGTCTCTGCCACACTGTTTAAAATCATTAGAACCACAACTATAAACAGAGCCATCATTTACACACACCAAAGTATGATTTTCTCCTGTACTTATGTGTCGAATTTCTGTTTTTTCCAATGAAAGAACCTGCTGCGGGCATGTCACTGTATTTTGTTCTGAGCCCCCTAGACCAAGAGCCCCTGAATTTGCTTTGCCCCACGCCAAAATATGAGGCATTATTGTTGCTAATTACTCTTAGCAAAATAGGATTTCATGTCTGCATGACATATAACTATAATTCATTGGCCTCTTTAAAAAATTGTCACTTGCACTAATCATTATTGAATGTTGGCCTTTATAAAAAAAGAATGTGTTATTTTACAATACTACAGTCAATTAATTATTGCATTCTCAAAAAAAAAACCACTAAAAAAACAAATAACTCATTAAATAATCAATTGTACTTTTGGTTTAGTTTTTAACATTAAAATTAAGAAGGCAATGGTAAGGCTAATAATCAAATAGGAATTATTATAATAGGTCCATACTCCATAGGAATAGGGCCTAACCTTTAACTAAGTTAAAGTTAGTAACTTAGTTACTCTAACATTTTGCCTTGACTTAAACTTAAACTCCTTCCAAAACAATTCAGACCACGATATATGACTTATTACAAAGACTTCAATATTTAGGCCTAACTAAAAATCAAACTAAGTTAGGTGGTAGCCTATACTATGCCTAAAACTTAAAACGTAAGCTAGCCATAGGACAAGGTCTTAAACTTTAACTTAAATGCTCTAATTTATGAATATGCCCTCCTATATTATACTATATAATATACATAAATATTATTAGTACTAGCGTAGGTCTAGTTACTTACTAAATTAGTAATTGTAGTATAATAGTATAATAGTAATAGGTTAGGCCTAGGCCTAAGCTAATTTGTATAGCATATTTATCTAGTCATTAGTACTATTAGCATTAGTTTAAATTATTTTTTACTGAACAATAAACGTAAATATGGGAATTTTTATAACACAATTTTTTTTTAACTGAAATACATTCTCTTTCGTTTTCGGGATGATCCGTAAAACTATTGTCATAAGGGGTTTTTTCGGGTTCCAGACGAATCCATTTGACCTATTAATATTATACACAATCTTATAACAAAACAAAAGTAGATTCTCAAGATCAAGAACGACAATCGTAGCTGCTGTCGACGAATATATGAATCTGATTGTATCGCTATAAATCTGTAAATTTGATTAATGTAGTCACAAAATAATAATTATAAGGGCTTTTTTAAATTTCAACTAAAAGAATAATATCATTATGATTTTATTATTATGCTGGGAAAAAATGATGAGGCCTGCAGGACTTTCTGCCAATTTTCTAAGAAATATTGTTTGAAATTCGAAGGAGTTACACGGAAGCCATAATGTTAATTTCTTAGTTATATCCCTTTACCGGATATGACCCCCCCTTAATGAAAAAGAAAATGGGATAGGAAATCGTATTTTTTTTTTTTTTTTCTTATAAATATATTTTAAAATATTAAATAGAGAACTATGTTTTGAGTGGGATTCAATTTTTATTAATGGTTTATTACCGATATGCTGAGCTGAACAAGTAAATCTTAAGAACTACAACAATTCCAAAAATTTAGACCATCTTGACATCTATTTGGCTTACCAAGTTGAGTGGGTGATTGTCACAATTCATAAATAGTGCCTAGCTACTTATTATTTTATGAAAACACTTCTGTATCCTGACATCACAGCAGCATTATCGTATCACCTTAACTGACAATCCCTTAGCCTCACTACTTTGTCTTGCTCTATTTGTTTTAAAATTTATACAGCCAAGCGAACATCACCCTTACCTTTTATTATGATAAATACAAGAAAACCCCACAGAGTGGGCAGAATAGTTAGCAGCATTTTATATATTTTTGGTATACTAAAATATGAAAAAAATATATTTTTCCATTCTGTATCTAGATCGCTGACTTTGCGCCCCCTTTAAAGTGACGTCCATGGCACGTGTCTTGTCACACCCTCGTACTCCTCTATGCGAAGATGCTGGATCTTTTTACCTACGCCCATTGCTGTCTAAAATATGCATACACTATTAAGATTATGCATACTTTAGAATATATGTGTTGTTATTTCAAATACTACAGATATGACGGGCTTCTTTCTGGCAGTGGATACGATCTTACTCTTACTCCCACGTCAATCTTGTAATGCTGTGCAAATCAACGCCATCACCATCATAAAAAATAATGTATGAGAATTTGAAACAAGGGTTTTAAATATTATTATGAAGTTATGTTTAAATAATAATAATCTTTGTGGGATTTACATAATAATAGGCCTAATATAGGGTGACCAAATCATTAATTGGATGATTTGCAGCACTTGATTCTTTCGCCCACATCACTACCAGGGTTTCTTTCAGCTATATCTCCGGGGGTGGGGGCAGTGCCCCCCCCCAGGAAAGCCAAGTTCCCCCCCCCGAGCAAAAATATGTCCAACAATAAATCAACTGGAACTGCTGACACTCCCCTCGCCCCCTTTCCCGAAAAATCTGAAGTGCCCCCCAGAAAATCTGAAGTGCTCCCCCGGGGGAAAATTTCTGAAAGAAACACTGATCACTACTGGTACTGGCTACACAGCTTGCCAAAATATTACTTGAAGTTATATTATAAATTAGGAAGTTTTAGTGATTTGAAATGTGTTTGGTTGTAGAAACGGGGCATTTAGGTGTCCCGAGAGACTTCTTCGGCCAAAACAACCATGGGGGCGCTATTTCCATGAATAGCAATAATTTTTAGTTAGCTTATTAATTTAATAATAATTATTTAAGCTTTTATTAAACTTAATTAACAGTTAACAGAAATAAATCAATTAACTTTCTTTGAATTGTTTGAGGTCTCGTATTATTTATTTTTGTTTTATTACATTACTTACTTTGGGGGGAGGGGCGCCAAGGTTAATAGATCGTTGAAAAGCCTAGTATCGGCTTTGTTGGCGATATATTATCGCGCATTTTATCTCGTCCTAATGACGTGGACTTAAAAAGACTGAAATAGAAATATCGTAATTTAAAAATGTATATTTCATATCTAGTCCACATTTAAACGGGATTAACCAATCGCTGTAAGGGAATGGAAGCTTGTTGTCATTCCGTCTTACTGCTATGAACTGTTTCTGAGTCAACAATTTTACTATTGTGGGCAAGCTCATACAGTCCAAATGAGCTTCCTAAGCCAACCAGTGGAGCACCACTCTAAACTGCTCTTTGTTAATTTCAATCAAGATTCCTCGTACGTTAAATTTTACTCGCTCCATCATCCATTACAAAAATGAAATAATAATTAAGTATAGTATTGTAGTTGTCGTACTGGCACTCGCACTTTTACGCTAGGCTTAATATTGTTTTATAATCGACATTTTTTGGTTTCTTTTAGAATTTGATTAGACTAGGCCTAAATAAAATACTTCTAAAACTGATACTAAATAAATTAATAATAATAATTAGTAAATAAGTAGACTACTAACAAGTAGTAGTAGCAAGTTTTCAGCTAATCTAATTAGGGCAACTCTACTAGTACTAATGATGATGATGATAGTAATCTGATAGTAGGTCAGATATGAGATGGCTAGGTCTAGGTTAAGGTAGCTCAGCTAAGCATTTTTATACTTAAAATTAAAAGGCTACATGAAATTAATTTTTTAAAATACACATATGGTCCATACCACAGCCAAAATATATTCACATAAATTATAAGTTACCTTTTAGTAGTCATAACAAATATAACATCCTACTAGCTCTATGTGGCTGGGGGTACCAACTGATTGGTAATCATTTGGGAGGGTAAATGTTAATGAACTCTTGGTGTAATCACCACCTCCTTCCCCCCCCCCAACCCCCAAACCTGGACCTGCACAGAGTTATTCTTAACCAGATCATACAAAATTTGCTTATAGTATTGTTTGTAAATAAAGTAACAAAAGTAGGTACTACACTAAAAATTTCAAAGTTGTTATATATTAATGAAACTTATATCATTAGAAAGGACTCAGTATTTCCTTTCCATTGATACCTATTTTATCTTTCTATCTTAAGTAGAACAAAAGTTATCGCATTTTTAGTGTCAGAATTTTTCCTTATATAGCCTTAGTAAATATTTTCCAAAATTCTGTGACCGAAAAAAGACATCTTTGACACTCAAAATGCGATAACTTTTTATTCAGCAAAGTTAAAGCTTTGAAACTTGCAACGCATTTCAATTAAGTTTTTGGCTTTAATAATAAATCATTGTTATGCAAATAATACAATAAACATATTAATGTGTGCGATTTGACGAACAGAGGGTACGTAAATTTCATTAAAAAC